AAAAAAAAAAAGAAAAAGAAAAAAAAAAGCCCATATTGGGATCTCTGTAGGACAGGGCACTGAGCGGGGCTCGGAGGTGCAGCCCCACCGCTCCCCATCCGTTCCATTTCCCCAGCCCTCCCCCTCCAAACCAACCCAGTAACACCGAGCGGTGCGGTCCCGGGACGCGAACCCGCGGCCACCGGCGCACGACGCGGTACCTCTGTTGCGCACGGAGCCGAAGACGGGCAGCACCAGGTAACCGACGTGCACCAGGACCATGCTGCGGCCTTCGTGGCGCGCGCGGGCGGCGCGGCCCGGCCCGCCTCGCTCCCCGTCGGTCTCTCCGACGCGGCGCCAGCGGCGGTCCCGGCTACTCCGCTCACACAAAGGCGACCGCCGCCAATGGCAGAACGCCGCGCGCGCCCGCGGGACACGCCCCCTCCTCATTGGCCGTCTCCTCGACGGGTCACGCCCACCTGGCGGAGAGCGCGGCCAATGGGAGGCGGAGGGAGGGAGGGGTGCGCGCGCGCGGGAACGCGGATGGCGGTCGTTGGGGGGGGGGGGGAGGGTTGTGTGCGTGCGGCGCGCGCGGGCGCACGTGGAGTGTTGGTGCTCGCGTGTTGTGTGAGCCGTGCACGCATGAGCGCGCGTGTGGTTGGTGGCTGTGAAGGACACGTACATATGCCCGTGTTCGTGCACCAACTGAGGATACATCCCTTGGATGTGATGCTTGGGGACGGAGGGTTGTTAGGGTAGTAAGGCTAAGCTCGTGGTTGGACTCGATGATCTTTAAGGTCTTTTCCAACCTGAGCGATTCTATGACAGCGTGCCAACGCACGCGTGCACGCACCATATACCATGCGCAGACATGCAGTCACACGCACACGTGCAGCTGCTGCCACGCACACACTCATGCGTGTGTGCCCCTGTGCATCATTCATGCAGGCATGCCTACCAGGTGCACAAAGGCACATGGACGCGGGCAGTTGGTGGAATACGCACGTATTCCTCCTGCACCAGCATGCACGTCGACGTGTCACATGCATAAATGCACACACAGGCATGAATATATGCCCTCCTGCATCGACGCATGGACAGTGGTGCATGCATGCATGCCCACTGCACGTGTACGCACCGTGTACACAGTCACATGCACACACATGCACCCCCCTTAAAACAGCGCCAACCAAGCATGGGGTGCAATCAGTGTGTGGAGACTTCTCCTTGATGGGCACAGACATGGGGATGTGCAGGAGGACAAAACCCTCCAAATAATAATAATAATAATAATAATAATAATAATAATAATAAATAAATAAATCCCAAATCATTGCAAGGATTTGGCTTTGTTGTCAAATCCAGGTTTTGTTCAGTGACCGAGGAGAAAACCTGTCGTTTTTTGTTAACTGGTTTTTTTTGTTGTTGTTGTTGTTTGTTTGTTTCCCCAGGAGAGCAGGGACCCCAGAGGGTGACAAGGGGTGCGTTTGTTACGAGGTGCAGTTGGCCATGGGTTCACAGCTGTTGCTGTGGGCACTTGGGTCACAGCAGAGCAGAGCATGTGCTGCTTCTCGCCCGTGGAGCTGCAGTCCCTGTGCCGCCCAGGGACTCCACTAATCCCTACTTAGGTTTATCCGTGTGCTGCATCTGGAGGGCTTCAGCCTCACAACGGAGGCGTGCGGCGGATTTGTCTGTCTGGATTAGTGCATTTGTGGGGTTTTCAGCACCGGGCATCCCTCACTGTTTAACCCTTTCCCTGCTGACACCAGCTGGAAGAACAGGAAGGGTGAGTGTGACCCTTTTTTGTGTGTGTGCGCTTTGATGTGCACAAAAAGAAAATACTCTTTTTGCTAAATTTTCACTCCACCCCTCATTCCTATGGCCTGGGACAGCAGTAGAGCTGCAGTTGCCAGGGGTGTTATGCCTTGACAGCACACATGTCCCCCCAGCAATCCAATCCCCCACGTCACACAGATGCTGCTTGCTTTTTGGCATTGAAAATAACTTGCAGCCATTCCCAAGGCAGCTTTTGGGATCCACAGTGATCCCAACACCACCCATTTGCAGTGTCCACATGCTTTGGCTTGCCCTCATGGGAGGATTGCATGGTGTTGCTTCACCTCCTCTGCAAAACCAAGATGAAATCCTTTGGGATAACAGAGCGGGATCCAACTGTCAACTGAAAAAGCTGATGTACCACCCTCATTCCCACCTGGGATGCCTTGCAGATCTGCATCAAGATGGACAGATGACGGCCTAGCAAAGAATGTATAAAATTGCTCTTACACCAAATTTTTGTCCTGTGTGGGTAGATGATGGGCTTGCTCTGTCTGTAGCCAGGAGCTGCAAACAGGCGTGAACACAAACATACAGACAAGGCCAGGTGCCACGTCCTACCCAGCAATGTCATTTTTTTCTGAATTGGGGCAGTTGTTGCACAGTGGGAGCTCTGCCCATGTGTCCCAGCAGAGACTTGGGATGGGGATATTGGGATCCTTTTGGTTCTCCTCTGCTCGGAAGGTTGCAGCCCAGGATACATCCGCAGCTCGTTCCTAGGGTGCCATCTAGTGCCCGAATTTCCCCAGCGAAAATGTCGGTGGCCAAATTGCATTAAAAACCACTGCAAAGCCCAGGAAAGATTACTACCCTGATTCTCCCTCTCAATGAAGGCATGGAGCAAGGAAGACAGCAGCCCTATAGGATGAGATTTTAGCAGCCTGAGACCACTGGAACATCCCCTGGGTGCTTCCATGACGTGGGGAAGGTCCTCTGATGCTCCTGAGAAGTGTGGAGGAATCAATATTCGTTTGCAGTGTGGGAGAGGAACTTCTCAATGTTTTCGATTTGCTGTCTTGTCCCAGACACACTGCCTTTTTAAGTCATCCCCCTTTTCATTAGGAAAATGTTGTGTTTTGTAAGCTGCTCTGTGTGTCTTTAACTCCCACTCTTCACCTTCCCGTTGTTTTCTCTGCATGGCTGCAACTCGACCTAATGTCTTCACATCTGTAGGGTGTGGTGAGCTTAGAACCCGAGGAGAACTCATGGGGGGACTCAATTCACGGGATAACCCACAGGAGGACCCATGCTACAAGCCAAGGAAAACCCATGGGAGAACTCACGGAGAACCTCTGGGAAGAACAAGGAGAACCTATGAGAGTATTCAAGGAAAACCCATGGGAGAACCCAAGGAGAACACATGAGAGGACCCACAGGAGAACCCGCCTACATCCTTGTCCCGGCTGAGGATAAAGCTGAAAAAAAGATGACAAAAATAAAGCCCGAGTGAATTAGGAATGAGACGTTGTGTGGTTCCACAGCCCACTGCAGAAGCACTCTCCCATATCATGTACCAGGTAGCTGGGTGGCAGAGCCAAGTCACCAAGACTTTGCAGTGGCAAACTTTCTTCTTCTAAGGGTTCTTGGTAGGTGCCAGCAATGACAGTTTGTGACCACAGCAGCTTATAGAGATGTGCTGGGGGGACTCAAATGCTTTGTGTGGAGATCCCCCAAAAGTGGCTGGCTGGCTTTGGGGCACATGCCATAGAAAAACACCATGTGCTCCTCAGTTATTAAAAGGAATTCAAGCAATACATCTGAGCTGCTCCACACCTTCTGCAAAGCCTACAGACAGCAAAAAGCCACAGGGCACTTGTAGATACAAAGCACAGCTTGAAATTTCCAGCTCTTATCTTTCTGGAGTGAAAAAGCTGGGAACAGTACCCTGAACCTCCCAGCACGAAGGGTGACCTCCCATCGCTGTCTGTCCATCCTGATGTTGGGATGGGGTAGGAAATGTGGCACTGAGAGCCCAAGAGAAGACCCAGCGTGTGAAGAAATGAAAACAATTTGACAATATACCCCAAATTTGGATATGGTTTGTTATTTGGGGGTTTTGTCAGACATGGTCCAGGGTGAGTGTGAACAGATGGAGCTGAATAGGAAGTGCAGCCATGTGGAAAAGCAATGGAATTACCCCTTTGTGAATCTGTCCTGTCCCATGCCAGGCAGGATGAGCTTTGGGTGAGAACACACAGCACACTGCAAGAGGGACAAACTTCTCATTAGAGTCTTAAAAGCATCACTCAGCCCAACCAAAACCAGAAAGGTAGTGGGGAAGGTTTGGGGGTCCTGGATTATGGCTGTCTGTCACTGTTTGAAGCTGTGGACAAAGCAGATGTGATCCTCACTGCACAAGATGGGGTATTTTGTCAGAGCTGCACAGAGGAAATGGAACAGGGAAGGCACTGGCCAGGCTGCAGGTCTGCATTCTTTTGTGCAGTAATGAAAAATGGATTTTGCAGAGAACAATTCTTTCTTTTCCATCATTTTGCCTTGTTTGCAACAAAGCTGGAAGCAAACACAGGATTTGTCTGCCACAAGTTTGCATTTTGCAGGAGTGCTGCTCCTGACCTTGCAAAGAGAGGAGTATTGGAGCTCCATCCCTGTGCTGCTCTGGAAACACAGGAACTGGTGCCCACAAACTACAGCCCTAAAAAAGAGAGGGGAAATACAACAAGTATGTCAGCAAACTGCACTGATGCACACAGCAAAGGACACAATCTGCAGACCTCAAGGGAAGGAGAGAACCAAACTGCTCAGTAGAGCCTTTGCAGTTCCCTTTTCAGTCTTTACAGGCTGACATCCACAGGCTGTGGGCATTTCCTGGGTGCTGGGGAAATTGCCTCTCATCCCCCCCACATCTGCAGTGCTGAATTCGGGAGTGCTGCAAGCCAATCCTGGAGCTGAAAGGGAATTATTTTGGGGATGTGACAAAGAGAGCTGAGTACCAACCGAAAACGGAAGGAAGAAAAACAAGACAGCACTGTTTAAATAATACACTCTATTTTATTTCGTCTTAAAATAGTTTAACCTTTATGCTACAGACTTGTTTCAAAAAAACGGAAGGTCTCATCTTGCACCAAAAATATATATATTTTTATATATTTATATAACACTCTGTTTGCTTAATTATTTTTATTTTTTTTTCCTCCGAAGACCATTAAATACCAGATGGAAAAATGAGAACTAAATAATGAGTGTCGAGAATAACCAAAAAAATTTTTTTTTTTTTTTTTTATAAGCTACAGTCGCACGTTTCGAACATTTAAATTCTAAGCAATTATTTGTCTTTGCTACAGAAGATCCCACGTTCACTCTCAAGCAATTCAGAAACTGCTGAACCAAGAAGGACGTGAGCCAATGCACAGTGCAGCTGAGGGGAAACCCCCATCAGCTCCAGTGGGTTCTGGATCAGGCCCTGCGTGCATTGGTTCTTGGCCATACAACGGCTG